GCGCGCGTCAAAAGAATAGAGGAGGAGCTGGAGGTGGTGGTAGTGGCGGGCGGGCGCGCCCAGAGGGAAGACCTGCTGCTTAATTTTTCATGGCCGGGCACTTTGGCCGCTCGCTGCCCCCCCCGGGGGGTGGTCGGTCGCCCGCCCCGCGACCCATCCCCGCCGCCTGCTCCAACCAGGCTGGCCAGCAGTCCCGCCGGGCCGGGCGCTCGGTCAGGCAAACGAAAAGTTGATAACTTTGTCTCGCTGTGAAAGCGCCGCGGGACTGATTACACTCGAAAGAGGGGGGGGGGGCAGCACAGGCCGCGGGGTGCTGAGCGAAGGGTGAGTGGGAGAGCGGGAGGGGGGCGGAGGACTGGCCATGAAAGGGTTCAAGGGAGGTCGCCTTTGATGTAGGCCTCCCAACCAGCTCACGCCGCCCGGCCCCACTCGGGCCAGCGGGCCGACCGGTCACCCCGGAAGGGTAGCGTGGGGCCCAGGTGAGAAAAGTGGGGGTGGGTGGTGAGGGGGGCGAAGGGCGTGACTGGGGCTGTCAATATGCTCCGCGACTCTGGAGCCACGCCCCGCGACGGAGCCCCATCCAGGAGAACTGCCTACATTCCATTTTGTGTTACAAGAGCGTTTGAGAATCGATCGGAATCAATACACGCCTGCTTCACTATCAATTCATGATTTTTTACCTAGTACTATTCAAAATATATTCAAAAGGGCTCAGGCGTACACAGAAATACTAAAACGTAGTGCTCGCGGAGGTGAGCCCAAACTGAGGGGGGTTGCGCGTGGAGTATCCTTATGACAGTGAATCCCGAGTCGAGTACTCCACCCCCTCCATATTGGCCCCCGTGCAACCCGTCTTCGTAATTAAACACGAGAAGGGGAGTGGGCCTCGAGGGCCCCCCTCCAAAGGTGAGGCAGGGAGTGGCTCAAGCGGCGGCGGCCCATGCTAGTGTGTGAAACCCATTACTTTGACCCACCGGGATCATGAATAAATAGATGATCCCCGCACCGTTAAAACCTTACAGTGATTGAAAGCCTGCAGCACTATAGTTTACGTTGAGATTCACCGTAGCTTACGGTGAGATTCACCGTAGCTTACGGTGAGATTCACTGTAGCTTACAGTGAAATTCACCAAAGCCTGCAGTGAAAATCTCCGTAAGCTACAGTGCTGTAGGCTTTCACTGTAGCTTGCGGTGAAAATCACTGTAAGCTTTTAACATAATGGATAATTTTATTTCTTGACTAGGCGGGCTGCTAGGGCTTGACTGAGCTCTAAGCTTGGTTTAAATAATGTGCCCGAAACAAGAAAGCATTTTCCTGGGTGCACTGATTCCACGCTCCGATCACTGGGTATAATAAGAGATACCTGTTCCTGTCCCCGACCTGTACTCGCCGTCACCTGTGCAGGTACAGGTGCTGCTCGCCGCCGCACGCTCGGCTCGCGGCGCGGAGCGCGGCCTCCTCCAAGGTCGTCGGGCGTTAGTAGCGCGGCCGCGCGTCGCTTCACGTGACATCGGCCATCACCGCCGCGTGGCAGCAATATTCTTGCGGAATGGGTCATTTGCGTTCTTGGAAAACAAGAGCAGTAAAAATAACGACAAAGATGATGACAACAAAGGAAAGAAAAAAAAAAGAAACAGCGCCGTATTGTAATTTCCGTACCGTTATGCGCGCGCAATGCGTGATGTGATGGGGCCTCCTCCAAATTGGCATCATTTACAAGCGTCACGGCCCCTCGTACATATACACAGACTGCGGGGGGAAATGGGACTGCATCCAATCCAGGAGGGCGGGCGGGCGGCCGTGTCGTGGCGCGTCGCGGGACACGCGCGGCGAGTCCCTCCGCTCCGCCCCGTCCCGTCCCCCGAGAGACAAATAACGGGCGAGGGCAGCGTTATTTGTCATACTCTGGGGAGGCAAGCGGGAGGCTTGGCTTGCGCGCCGAGGTGCGGCGTGAGGGACTACTTTGCCGTGGCCCCGCTCCCGCCCGCCCACCATGGGTGGTGGTGCGGTGGTGGTTGGGGTACTAACAGCACCGGGACTAAACTTGCGGCTGAGTGTGTTTGGCGCGGTGACCGCCGCCGCGCGTCAGCCACGGCGGCCGCCGCCACATGTCAGCAGCGCGGTGTGCGTGCGGCCGCGGCGCGAGGGGCCCGGGGGGGACGCTCGGTGCCACCAAAAGGGCCCCGGAGGGGGCTCGAGGGTCGATAGAGCGTGACAGGACACTTGTCCCCGTCAGCTCGCCGATGGTCGTCCGACTATACTGTGTCGGGGCCGGGGCGTGGTGGGTGCGGCTCGGAGAGGCGTTCTTTTGGGGTGTTCCCCGATCCGATACGATGAGTCGCCGACGCGCGTCGGGCGTGCCTTCCTGCCTCCTTGGGCGTTTCCCTCGAAGTAAAGCAAACTGAAACCGAGCAGTAAAGGGTTGTGGAAAGAGGGAAGGGGGAGGGAGGGAGGGAGGAGGAAGTGGCGATGTGGGTCACAATATTTGAAGTGATGGGGTTGACTGAGCTGGCGCGGGAGAGACGTTTACAGAAGAGTCGCCCCCGGGCCTGGTCCCGACCTTCGCTCGCAGCCCGTTTGACGGCTCTGTTACTGTACGCGACGACGGGCTGCCGGGGGAGGAGTAGTGCCGTCCGCCCTAAGTGAGAGGGGCGGGCGCGCCGGCTTAGCGTCGACGCGCAGGACAGCAGATGAGATGTGGCCCCACTTCCGCGCCCCCGGCCCGGGCCCCGACGAAGACGACTTCCTTTCGCGGATTTGCGGGCCCCGGCCATGAAAAATGTATAGTGCGCTGGAGCTGCTGTGTGAAGGGCAGCGCGCCCGGTCCTGAGGAGGAGGAGCGGGAGGGGAGCGCCCATGCGTGTCACGTACGTCTTTGTCGCCCTCATGTGTGCCTTCTTCTCATCCCGCAGGAGCAGCGCGGGCCGCCCCCCAACCCACACCACGCCGTCACCATGAGGCTGCCGTCCGAGATCCAGGGCACCCGCGAGGAGCGGGTGGCGCAGTTCAAGAACGACGCCGAGCTCATGGGGGTGGCCACCAAGCTGGTGGCCGAGGTCATCGAGAAGGCCAAGGGCGAGGCCATGAAGCGGCGGAAGGTGAGTCCCAGGCCGCCGGCCGGCACGGAGGGCGCTGCGCGGTGCGGCGCGGTGGCGGCGCTTGGCGCGGGCCGCACCAGGCGCGTCGTCAGGGGAAGTCATCGACTTCCGGTCCCACACCCCGCGCCAGCCAGAGCCCCTCCCCGTCTAGTATCGACTACTGCTTATATTTTGAAAGGCAATATGAAAATATTGTCCCGGCGACAGGAAAGGGGGATATCGGGGGGAGAATATCAATTTCCTGCTAGGGCGTCGAAGGAGCGCAGAGACGGGGGAAAAGGGCGGCAAAAGTACGCCGGCAAGAGTTGATCTGAGAAGCGGGGAGGGAGAGGATTTAATTTGCGATGCAAAGCGTGCAGCCTTCCCGAGAGCGGATGAGGCACTACTACCTCCGCAAAGCCACGCGGCCCGCATCTATCTTCATTCATACTTCAGCGTTTTGCGGATTACGAGCGAGAGAGAGAGAGAGAGAGAGAGAGAGAGAGAGAGAAGCGGCCCGGGGCAGGGAATCACGCTTGGAATAATTACGACGATCGTCAGTAAAAGCAGCCGAAGGAGGCGCGGGGCGAAGTATAACAGATACACCAACCACATTCTCATCCTATTACTGATTTTGTTTCACCCCTTTGTCAGTATTCCTACTGCTTAAAAAAAACTGTATTTAAGCAACTCGCACAACATTTTTCATCAGTAACACGAAATAATTCCGAATACGAATAATTCATGTTTAAATTACTCTTTTTTTCATCAGTAAGTAAAGTTACTTACATAGACACAATAAGAAATAAATTAGTCATGAATACTGCTGAGTAAAAACGTAGGTATTAACTAAGAAAATAAAATCAGTGGCAGATCTGAGAGGGCAGAAAACGACCGGTTCCGGAGAGCAGACACTATTGAAATCATATACTTCAGTGGAAAGTTACCGCCGCTGATACCGCAAAGAGTTTCTTAGACAGACACTGTGCCCTCCGCGAATCGGAGGGAAAACTTATTCTTATTGCCTCGGGACTCCACATAATTCGTGGGCGAAGTGGTCGCTGCTGGAGTGCTGTGCCTGGCTGGGGACGGAGGAA